ACTAGACCAGGACTCATGCCTAGGGAAGCAGTGTGCAAATGCCCAGCCCTCGCCATGGGCTGACAGGTCTGAAGGCTGCAGGTGCTGCTTGGCAGCACAGAAGTTCGCTTTCCCACTGAGTAACTCTACTCCCCTGCCAACCCCCCACTCTGTGTGGTGCCCGGACTACAGTCTAAACCTTGCTGCAGAATCCACCCAGTAACAAAAGCAACTACGACAACAATAATTGGTTCTATGCTGCCAGGCTGCTGTGAAAATTAAAAGAGATGATCTACACAGAAGCATCAAGCTGGGCGTGGTGGCACACTCCTGTAACCCCAGCACTCTGCAGGCTGAGGTAGAAGGAGTGTTATGAGTGAGAGGCCAGCTTATGCTACGTACTGAGTTCAAGGCCAGCCTGCGCTACACAGGTAGACCCTGCCTCAAAAGTCAAACAAAACAACAAACACTGAACCCAAAAATCAAATACAATTTGAGCTAAAAGCACATTTCATGAGCTCAAGGAAAAATGAAATTAGCAACTCTAAAATTATAATTCCTACTAGGAATTACCAACTGATTTAAGCCTTCCTGAGAACTGGGATCAGAGATACAGCCAATGCCCACGGTTCACAGGCCCTGAAATGGGGCCCACAATGCTGACACTCACCAGGGGCTTCCCCTCCAGCAAAAAGCCCCAGCTGGCTAGAAGGGGAAGACACCCAGGGGCCACCAGGTGCACCCAGCTAGGTAGGTGACCGCTCTGCGCTTCCTGGTTCAAAGGAAAACCCTGCAGAGCCAAGGAGGCATGACAACCCCCAGAAGAGCTAGTGACCCTTCTCTCTTGTTGTTGGGTCACAGAATAGATCATCGAAGGGAATAAAATCCAGAGGACAAACATGTGGGCTGGGTCACCCCAGAGAGCTTCACCTTGTTCTCCCACAAAACATCAACCTCCTCACGATTCCCTGCAACGCTAAAGCAACCCTAAGTGAAATAATCACTTCGCAGTGTGGAAAAAGCGTTTTAAAAGTCACACCTTAAAAATTGTATTTCTTAAAAAAATATTTATTTATTTATTTGGTACAGGGGCTCAGACTCATAGTGATCCTCCTGTCTCGGCCTTCCCAGCGCTGGGATTACAGGTGTGCTCCACCAAGAATCTACCTAAATGTCCTAACAGAAAGCCGGGTGTGAGCCCAAGACTCTTGAATCATTTTGCCCAGCCAAAAGCAAGGGAACAAGGACACAGCTGGCTCAAGTTCACGCAACAAGACCCCAGAAATCAGAAGCAAGAGAGGCGGTGAGGCGCCCTGTTCAGCATGAAGCCAGAGCAAAACAGGCGGCACGCAAGCCCTGAGCAACCAACCTGCAGCTACCCGTGTGTCCCTGCCCTGGTAGCACTTTCTCCACCCCATGTGTTCATTAATTCCTGCCGACCTGTTTGTTTCCCTGAGGAAAATCTTAGCTGCAAAGCACATCCAAAAAATATGAACTGCTGAGCAGTCAGTACTGGGACAGGGTGACAGCCTGGACAGTTCAGCAGGCACAGTGCTTGAAGCTTTGGAGTTCAAGGTCAGCCTGCACTACACAGGTAGACCCCACCTGAAAAATCAAACCCTCAGACAATGAGTCTCCATTCAAATGTAAAATTCCCAGGAAAATTTCTGATACTTTTAGACTTATCCCTAGGCCAAACAAGTACTTCTTGGAGTGGAGGTGGGGGAAGGGTGTCATATAGCAAAAGCAGAGCTGCTGGGGTCCATTTTATGTCTTAGGACTTGTTGGGACCAGGACAGCAACTCCACATGTAGTTTCCACAAAGTTCAACGCGTCATTCATTCATTCAGCATTTCCCCGTAACTCAGTTCAGAGCACAAGGTCAGGAGCCAGGTGCCTGAGGTCGTCACTGGCCGTGTAGGTCCCTAACTCTGCCACTCCTCACCTGTCAAATGAGTTCACTGGAGCACCTGTGTCACAGGGTTCCAGGAATAAGAGACGTTTGGAGAATGGCACATGGTGAGCACTCAACAACTTCTAGCTAGTAATTTTATTCAGTCAAAAAATTTGAATGAGCACTAATTATAGTGAATTAAGTACTCCGTGAAATCTCCATCAGCCTTTAGCCCAGATCTACCCTTCCACCAGAAGGGTAATCTCAGCCCAGCTGTCAAGGAGGTGGGTGCAGCATCATCCCTCTGCCCTCTTCCCAAAGGCCACCTCCAGATGTGCTGCTGGGCTCTGCCTCCCACACACCTGCCAGCCACTTCCCTCTTGTCCACTCCTCACAGCCACTGCCCGACTCCAGTCTCATTAAAGTCTCCTCTGGGAAGGACAGTAATTCCCTAAAGACAAGGCTGTAAGGACCAGTACCACCTAGGAGCCTCCTAATGTTTCTATTAACACAGATACAACATAGAAGGGAAGTGACACGGATTCAGCCAAACCTTTGTCCTCCCTTCAAGCAGTTGAAAATAAAGTTATCTGTGACAAAAACATAGAAAGAGAACATTGAAGGCAACTGCCAGGTCCAATGCTTTCAAACGTTTTTGATAACTATGTTAGATAGAAAATATAATTAAAAGAGAAAAGTTCTGTCTGGTTAAGGTTACCTATCAGTTGCTAGGTAACCTAGTATCATGCATTACTAACTTCACAAAAGTGTAAATAGAGGACTGTTTTGTTGTGGAAAAAAAGGGAAGGAAAAAATATATATGTATATACAAGAGAGTTAGGATAGATATATAGCTACTTATTCTTACTTCACAAGTATTTTTCTCTGAAAATACCATTTATTTGTGGAATATCTATTTAATATTTTTAACCTCATCTGACCTTGGTAGATGAAGTTATGAAAAGCACACCTTGGGTAAGAATATTGTTTAAACAAGATATCATGTCTGTATCTTGTCCTCTGAGTAACAACTCTGAAGTGAACAATATGCAATGTATTAATTATTGTAAATGTTCTACTAACCTGTTTTAAAACTCTTTCATTGCTATTTTATCTTTTTTCTCAGTAAAATGAATCAAAATTTAAAAATAAATTTAAAAAAATTGAAAATAAATAAATAAATACAATATTAAAAAGGAAATGTTATCAATAAAGTTATCCCTATAAATTCAAAAAAAAAGAGAGAGAGAAAAGTTCCAATAAAGATATTTTCCTCCAGAAAAAAATAAAGGACAAAGGATTGTAAAACTCCTGGATAAAGTTTGTTATAATGTCCCATCTAAAATTTACATATTTTCAGAACTAAGCGCCACACACCTAATAAAGTTTTCCTGGATTAACCTGGACAAAAGCAAATCATTCTCTTCCCTATAGAATTCCACAATCATTATTGTCTGTCCAATTAATCATGTATTACTTTATGGCCTACATTATCTAAATGTTTTCCTTTTCAGTATGTTTAAGGCTGGTTTCTTATCTAATCTAACCTACAGTTTCTCTATTCCAAGTTTTCAAAAATCATGTACAGACAGTAGTCATTTGCTCAAAGGCTTCTTGGAGATACAGCCACAGAGCTCATGGCGGGCACGCGGGCCTGGCGCTGTGACCCTCCCCTCTCCAGCCTCCCTGGGTCCTGCGCGCTGTGGCCCTCCCCTCTCCAGCCTCCCTGGGTCCTGCGCGCTGTGACCCTCCCCTCTCCAGCCTCCCTGGGTCCTGCGCGCTGTGACCCTCCCCTCTCCAGCCTCCCTGGGTCCTGCGCCCCGGCCCCCAGGGCTGCAGTTTCCGGACCACACAGAGCTGTTTCACTCCTCTGCCTGTGCTGTTCTTTCTGCTGGGTCACCTACCCCTCCATCCGCGGGACAACTCCTCCTCCCCTTCTTCCTCCTCCTCAGTTAAAGGTCATTCTCTAATCGTTGAACGCTTCCTGATACTTGCCAGAGTGAGGCCTGCGTTAAGCTCATCTGTAACACTGGATAACCCACCCCATCCTGCCTTTCTCTACAGTAAGTATATGAGAAAGAGCTCTGAAGCTCTTGAAGGAGAAACAAAATATGAGCACTAAGATTTGTTTCCAATGTAACACTAGTTCCTTTGCTAATTGGATTTCTTAGATAATTGGAAAATTTTAATATGCAGTAGTACCTTTTATTTTTTGTAGGGGGGTTAGCCCAGGACCCCCAGGGGATATTCGAAACTGGATAGTACTGAACCCTACATACTGCATTTTTATACGCATACGTGTGATAAAGTTTAACTTTCAAATTAGACATAGTAAGAGGGTAATAACAACTAATAACAAAATTGAAGAATCTTAAGAATAGAATATAGTAAAAGTTATGGGAACACAAGTATTTTTCTCTGAAAATACCATTTATTTGTGGAATATCTATTTAATATTCTTAACCTCATCTGACCTTGGTAGATGAAATTATGAAAAGCACACCTTGGGTAAAGCAAATTTTGGATAATAAAACCTTGCTTTTATTCTACTGAATAAATGACCCCAAAGTTGCTTGAATATAGTGTTACAAAGTCATAAACCACCAATTAGTCATTCTATGTTTTCAAACAGCAATAAGTAAAAGCACGTGCAATTGGCTGGGTTTATTTTTACATGGTCATTAAATAATAGGAAATATGGTTAATCAAACTTCTTAAAAGTTTGTCTCTTTAAAATATTTTAAGTGGGGCTGGTCAAATAGCTCAGTGGATTAAAGCACCTGCTTAGGAAGACGCAGTGGCCAGGGTTCCATTCCCAGACTGCCATGCTGGCCCTGCTCCCAGGGCGCACTGAGACAGTGATTGAGATTGGGCATGGTGGTGTGCACCTGTAAACCCCGTACTTGGGAGTCTGAAAACAGGAGGATCACTACAAGTCCAGTCTGTGTAGTGAGACCCTATAGACCCTGTAGTAAATACATTTTAAAAAATTAAGTGACTATGGAAGGAAGAACAGGTGCCCACACAGGCAAGCTCTTTCAGCAATGAGGCTGCACATTCTAGATCCCAGATGTGCAGAAACATCAGTCCAACTGGGACAGAAATGCCACTTTGGGTGTGGACTCACTTGGCCCCACCCTGTGACAGTGGGGTTTGCTGTGCTCTCCCGGCCTCCCGGAGTCACTAGGGCCCCCTGGGCAGCATCCTTTCTTGTTCCTCGCTGTGTAACCGAGCTCAGTGGCAAGGCTGGCACAGGAAGGTGCAGGCATTGCTGTCTGGGCTGAACTCAGCTCTCGACAGACACTGTCCCTGCTCCATGAGCCGGTCCAGCCACGAAGGCAGCTGCCTGCTCCAACATTTGAACTTCTCAGCACCAACAGGCATCCACTGTCACCAAGAACTTAATTTTCCATAAGAATTAAAAACATACCACAGCGATATATGTGCCCCCATGTTTATAGCAGCATAATTTGTCATAGCTAATTCTTTGAAACAACTCAAATGCCCATCAACTGAGGAACAGATAAAAGCAATGTGGTATTTTTATGCAAAGGAGTATTACTCAGCTACAAAGTATTTTTATACAATAGAGTATTACTAAGCTAAAAGTTTGAGTAATACCACAAGATAAACTTGAGTCTTTTATAGGTAAATGGATACAACTAGAGACCATACTCATAAGTTAAATCAGACCAGCAAGTGTAAACATCATATTGTCTCCCTAGTGTAAGAACCTAAAAGAGTAAATAAAATGCAAAAGGTACAACAGATAATGTGAAAGAGAAAGAAACTGCTCAAAGAGAAGAAACAACTGGGATGAGGGAAGGAAGAAAAGAAAGAAGGAAGAGAAAATATATATTTATATATGTAGGATAGCTTGGCTAATTGCACTGCTGATGCTTATTGTTCTACTGAAAGGAACAGTTAATGCTTACTTTTTTTTCTTCTTTTTAATTTTTTGACCATTTTTTGACCAATCTTGCATGCTTATATCTGTTAACCTCAATAACTAATTTGAAGACAACAATCTATAATTACCATTGTTGAATTTCTAAAAAACAAACACAGCAGACTGAAGTGCCTGCTTAGGCAGACCCAGGGACCAGGTTCGATCCCCATCGACCCGTGCCAGCCCTGCTCCCGGGGCGCTCTGAGAAGGCCACCGAGACTGGGCATGGTGGCGCAGTGCCTGTAATCCCAGTGCTTGGGAGGCTTGAAAGCCGGATCACTACAAGTCGGATCTGTGTAGTGAGACCCTGTACTAAATATATTTTTAGGGCTGGTGAGATGGCTCAGTGGTCTAAAGCACCTACTTAGAACAAGCTAAGCCAAGCAAAGCACAGGGACCTCGGTTCAATCCCCCAGCACCACATGCCAGCCCGCCCGCCCCCTGGTGGGCTGAGCTGGCCACACACA